AAAATTTGAAGAAATAAAGAATGAATGCGATCAAATATATGATTTCAGTCTATTAAATGATGATAATATGGACATAGCAGGGCATGGGCAGCAGCCTGAATAAAGCCCAAATTGCATATATTGATATTGCTATCAATTATTCGGGCGCGGATAACCTATACCTGAATATTGACAGAAATTCCAAAATTAGATATTTTAAATATTGATAAGGTATTATCAATTATATCGGCGGGGAAGACCCCATGTATTAAAAAAATTGAATAAGCAATGTTGAATATTTAAGTAAGTTAAATTAAATTAAAAATAAATGAATAAGCAATGTTGAAATTTTAAGCAGCCTTGACATGTATGTACGCATACACTGGCACAAGGATTTTGAAGGCAGAAGAAGCTATGAAGGCTAATCGCATAAAGATCTGTATGGCCGAAAACCAAAGACTGGTACACAAAAGCGAGACAACTATTCACGGAGAGACAATGCCCACGTGAACAAAGCAAAGATTTTATAAATTCCCGAAGATTGAAGTTTGTCGGGGCACTATCTCTCGCTCTTATCCATCACCTAAAGGGATACGCATGCATCGTTACTACATATAAAATAAAGAGGTGCATTCTCTCGGAAGCCATCCAGAGAGCTGCTCTCTCGCCTATAAAAGAAGACATTTGTTGTGAAGAGAGACATAACACCAAAGTGAGAAGTACCACCAGCCACCGATAGAGCAAGAGCTACGACCCAGCTAGCAAGCTCATTGCTCAGTAGTAGTAGTTGTTGTTCCTCATCATGTAATAAGAGCCACAATATCTAAAGCATTTGTAAGGCTCAAGAAGGTAGTTAGAAGGTAATTTTCTTTAACTTGTGTAATCCCTTCGGGGCCTCCCGAAAGAGAAAGCCATATGTAAATTATGTTGTGGAAATGATGAAGTTTCTTGGTTTCACTTGGTATTTTTATTTATGAATTTATGGGACGAGTTCTTATGCTAGGGATCCTATAGGAGAAACCTCTGCGTGTGTAGTTCTCTATGTAGCCCAGAATGACGTTTGAATGAGAACTTTGTGGCCGTAGAGAAGTGTACCCTTCGGGTGGAACTGCATGGAAAGACGATATGAATTTACCCCATAAATTTGCAATTAAAACTACTAAGTGAACGTAATTAGCTACATCTGAAACAACATGATGAAAAATATGGTGAGTACTCAGTAGGATTTTACACCTCTGCGCACACGGTCGGACGAATTGTTGGCCTCGTCAGCCCATAATAGATCCTGCATTAAAGAAATAATTAGAACGTGAAGGTAATCACATTGAATTAAATATTGCTGTGAATAGTGAAATACTGTTCCAAATAGTGTATTGAATAGTAAATCACTTTTGTGAATAGTGCCCTATCTAGTGAATATTAAATACTATTCAAGATAAAAAGTGTGTGTTGTCTACCACTTTCACCTAATCACATATTAACCTAATTAAAATCTGAGTTAATATAAATTAGAATCTGAGAATAAAGAACTTTATTCCCTATATTGCTAGTATCAGGTCCAGTGTTTAACCATTGAAAGGTTAAAATATTTAAACTTACAAGTTAGCGCAGGTAAAGTAATAAATACTAAGAAAAATATAAATATAAGGTGTAGAATAAATCCCTCTGAAGAGCATATCTGGCATACATCTCATAGGCAGTTAAATACAGTCATTGATTTGAGATATAACTTTTACATATCTCGGGAAAAAAGACAAGATAATTTAGACCAAAAATTTAAAAGTTTATTGAAAGAATACCAAAAACTTGCGGATAAGTATTCAGGGTTGAATAATAAAATCGATCTAGCTTTACATAAGCTAGAGGAAGCAAAAGCAAGACAAAATACAGTTTACAAGAATAACAATTATATTAAAGAGGAAGTGTTATCAATAAGCCTTTACCTAAGTAAAGGCAAAGAGTCAGTCCCACGCACTGAATCAAGACAAGATATAGTTGAAATAAAAAAGTTGGTGCAAGAGGTTAAAACTTTTATTATCTCATAATTATATGAGTGAATATACTCAAGCATTAAACGAAGTAGCTAAATATCTGTCACCTCCTGTCGGATTCTCTGATCACGATTCCCCAAAGGAAGATTCCAAAGTTATAATAAGACAAAATAACATCATGCTCCATCTATTAATCCAGATTTTAGATAAACTAAATAGTGTTCAAAGCAACAAACAAATTGTGCTTTCATTATCCGGAATAGTTGCCTCTGCTAGAAATATTAATTCAGAAAAATGGTCATATCTAAAGGCTTCCTTAGAAAAGACAAAACCCTCCAATAAGTAAGGCAAGATTCAAGACATCTGGCCATGAAGCATAGATTATCATGCAAAGCGGATGATATTGATAGCATTGAAGAAGTTATTGATATACAAAGAGATCTAGAAAGATATCAGAAAGATACTCAATAAAGCCGCAACAAGTATACCACATGGGTATGTTTGAGAGTAAAAATGGTCTATATAAAATATCCAGAGAAGTAGAATTAAGTGTGTTAACACACCCAGTAGATTTAAGAATTGTAAGCAAGAATATTGAAAATGAACTAAGATATTGTGGTTATAAATATATTCATCAAGGTATGTATATTGTAGGAATTAAAGGTATGACAAGGAAGAAGTTAGGTGCTAAGGTTTTAATAACATTATTAGCCAGAAGATGAGAATCAGTAGACAAAGCAGCATTAGGATTTTTCGAAGGAGACATGAATAAAAACAGATTAATAACCTATATAGCTCCAGACCTAATGATGCCTGTAAAATAATTTATTGAAAAAATGAGTTTTGGTTTCCAAACTAAAGGGTACAAAGATTTTAAAGGAACAAACTTGTTAGTAAGTATAGAATTTATAAGAAGGCTCACTAACAGAAGTAGCTCCAGATATAGAGTGAATGTGAATGACGTAATTGATAGTATGCAATCAAAATGTATTAAATTTATGAATCCTCTTAAAATTGGCCCTGAAGAAAGAGCGAGAGAAGAATGGAAGATAGGTGAATTAATAAAAAAAATAATTAAGGCAACCTGAAAACTACATAAGCTTTCAAAATTGTGAAGGAAGTAGCAGTATTCGATTTATGAATTATAAATCTGTATCAATAGAAGACTCTGAATCTTTTATGTCAGAATCAAAAATTAATGATGATAAAAATAAAGGTGTATCTGAATGCATGGAAAAGACTAATTTAGATGATGAAATAAATCATTGGGAAAAGAAACTAAAGCATATTGAATTGGAATGTAGTCATTCTATGACAAATTATTGGCCTAAAATAAGAGAAAGAGAGCTATTTATAATTAGAGAAATTGCAAGGTTAAAGAAACTAAAAAATGATAAAAAGTTTGCTACTAGTAGTTCAACCATGGAAGATAAAATTATAGCATCCGCAGAAAGAAAAGCAAATGCTATTATTAATAAAATGCTATCATTAATATTAATAATAATAATAATAATAATAATAAGAATAATATTCAAAAAGAAGAAGTTGTTAGTGAAGAAGAGCAATGGGATATCAATAATATGTTATTATTAGAAAGTTATAAGGATGAGGAGGAATTAATAAAAGAAATGTGGTTAGAAGATGAAACTATAGATATATAGACACACACGGTTGGGAGTATGTATTTCTAATTTTTCACATACAACTTAAACAATCTAATCATACATGTTTATTAATTATGTAGAGTAATATTGCTAATTCATATGTTCTACTTTTCTAGACTAGTATTTCTCATTCAATACTCTCAAGTCTAGAAAAGGAAGGAATGTCATTTCTAATTCATCAAGTTAGAGGGTAATATTGTTAAGCGGGTGATATTTTTACTTATTATTTTATGCTTTAACTTGGAGAAAATGATTAAATTATTCTTACATTCTCATCTTCGGAGTAACCCTTTTGTCCAATCAGTATCTCCAGGATTATAACGCCAAGACTATATATGTCCGATACAAATGTGATTTGCCCACTATAGAACTCAGGTGCCAAATATCCGCTGCAAGAAGATTTATAGAGTTACTTCTCACTGGCTGTAAAATACTCCCTCCGTCCCAAATTAGTTGACCTAGATTCGTCTAGATACAGATGTATCTAACGCTAAAATGTGTCTAGATACATCCGTATCTAGACAAATCTGAGTCACCTAATTCTGGGCGGAGGTTGTAGAAATTATATTCATCCTATACAAAATGAAATAGAGAGCTCCCCAGAGGCCGGCTTACAGTGATCCACAAAGGTTTGAAGTACAAACGTGGGTACCATGTGATCATCTATTAGAATATTAGCGGGTTTCAAATCTAAGTGCAAAATGCGCTTCTCATGAAGATGACATAGACCGTCACATGTTCCCTTAATTATCTGAAAACACTCCCTCCAATCAAGTCCATGAGATGCATCTGTAGAGATAGGCAGGCAGAGATTGTATAATGTGAGTAATAAACTTACAAACGTCATGCAACATAAGCATAGTTTACGTGGGATCCTGGGCTCTATAATAAAGCAAATAAAGATGGAAATGAATGTCTTGATCTTACCAGTAATATACTTATCAAGACTGCTGTTGGGTACATACTCAAAACAGAGCAACCAATTTCGTATATCTGCCATGACCATCTTCCCCTCATAGACCATAATTTTCCCTTGCGTGTCAGAACAATATCCTAAAAAGCGCACTATGTTTTTGTGCTTGGCCTTCATCAAGCACTCAACCTCTTTGTGGAATTTACTCTCATGCATATTCCTGGATAGCCTCTTCACAGCAACTATCTCATTTCCGACCATTCCCTGCGGTCACAAACAAGTATTGTCATTGCAAACCTTTTTGGGCTTGTGGCGGTGTGACTGATGTCACGTGAGCATATGCCAGTTTAGTTTTTAGACCAATTGTGATTAGATGGAAGCTTATTAGAGTTGTGTACCTTATAGACCATACCTTATAGACCAATGCAAACCCGCCACTGCCGATTTGCTGATCGTCAGAGAAACAATTTGTGATGTCTTCTAAAAGTGATAACGGCAGATCCATTGGCTCCGTACTTCCATCAATTAACATGCGCTCCAGAGCATTGTGTCCAGTACTAATTTCGTACTCCATTTGCAGATACGTAATGTGGTGCAGTGCTCTTTAAATAAGAGCATTCACTATACCAGATGATGCAAATGTCATGAATTATGTAGAGCAAGAGAATGAAGATCACATGCATCCCAACTCCCTAGTTACTTGCAGGTATAATCATCGAAGACACAACTGGTTTGATAATTCTCACCTTAAAAAATCTCAGTCACTTCAAAGTAGACAGCAAGTAAGCCAAAAGCTATACCACGGAGAAGTGTTCAAATTTGGTATGTGCTTTACTACAATTAAGCTCTCTCATCTTGTTGCTAACGACAGTTCTCCAAATTTTGACTTGACGATGACTGATCTGATCTCCTAGCGTCAACCTGTATGTCGGTTATTTTAAACACTCATTTGTGCTCTGATTTCTCGAAAGCAAGTGATGAGCTGGATTTCAGCAATAATCTTAGACCCAAACGCCAGCGGCAGAAGACAAAGGAGCCGCATCAGACGCTTCAAACTCCGACCTTCCCTCAGGAGGACTTTCTTTGCCACTAGGATTAAATTCCTCCTAGTCTTAGATTTAATTACATCATCAATGGTTTGGGTAAATCTAACAGTAACAGGTTTGGGATAAGAATCACACCTTCCTTGAGATTTGGTTTGGTACTAACTAGCACATACAAAAAAAACTAGCACATACACATATGGGGATCGAATTGAACATCTAATCTAGATACTGGAGTTCGAATTTATAGATCTGTCACAGATACTAGCTAGTAATATTGTTCTCTGATGTATCTTAATCAGAATCTCTTTACCAACGCTGATGGGTGTACAGTAACAGAACAATAGTCAGCCTGATTTAATCTGGGCCATGCCGCAGATACTAGCAGGCAACAAGAAATTAGGAAACCCAAAGGAGGGAGGACGGAGGTAGCACCAAGTGAACTAGAATGAATCAAAGGAGGGAGAATGGAAGAGATTTACAGAAAGAAAAAGGAACATCCGTACCACGGCAGTCGGCCGGCCGGCCGGTGAGCGGAGAGCGGAGACGAGATCTGGATGTCGATGGCCTGCGCCTCGAGGAGGACGCTGGCTGCAGCTTCCAGTGGGGGGTTGGAGTACGTTGACCTGCAATTATTGATGGTCATTGCGTCAACAGTCAAGGTAGACCCTACTTTTTCTGAAGAAAAAAAATAACTGATGGAGTTTATTGTGGAGTTCTCGAATCTCGACAATCCATCATATGGAAATGCATATGCCAAAAGGTAAATATTTTGAGGATTCCCGACGAATGTATTTGTTGCCACTGGTCAGATGCACATATTTATTTTTTGAGGTAACAGATGTGCAAATGTGTAAAAGCACAGGGAACAGACACTTCAGCGAACCTAGATATCATCGCAAACGCCCAACCGGTAGAACTTCTTCTCCCACTTTGCTTTCTCTCTCACTGACGCTCCCCACTCCTCACCTCGCCTAGTTGTGTGGCTTTCTATTTTGGCGGCGAGGCGGGTTGCGCTGGCGTCTAGGTGGGCGAGGGCAGAAGCGAGGCGGGCGGCGGCAGAGACAAGGTAGAGGCGGTTGCGTAGGCTACGCCACTGACAAGGCGCCGGAGGAGGTGCGTGCCGCCGCCGCTGCCTCCATCGAGATCCTCGGCGAGCGTCCCTTGTTGGATCCGTCGTGATGCTCGGTGACCCAGGCGGCAACTCCACGCTCCTCGCTGTCGTAGCAACCTTTGACGGTACAATACACCAGGGGTATACGACCTCCTAGGAATAAGATTGCCAGGCCGGCCTCAGAGCTTGGCTATAGCCTGGCCCCTCACCCTTACAGCGAACCTCCGCTAGAAGGATATATCATTACTTGTAACCCTACCCCTCATTCACCTATATAAGGGGAGGTAGGTGCCTCCCAAGAGCCATCTGTTGGAAAAGCAATTTACCGAATGATTTTATTAACAAAAATACTAGATAAAACATGACTATTATAGCAGGGATAAAAAAAATCATGCAATCTGACAAAGAGAAGGTAAATGGCATCTGCATATATGAACTAGAACCGAACATATCTAGAGCAGGCACTAGAGCAAGAAACTGTGGTAGAATCTCAAACAGAAAGAGTATGAGAACGTACGGAACAGCGGCAGAAGCACTAGTCTTGGGGTCGACGTCTGAGGGAGTCCTGGATAAGGGGGTATCCGGACAGCCGGACTGTACACATCGTCCGGACTATAGAAGCATCAAGATACAAGACTCAGACTTCGGCTCGTGTCCGGATGGGACTCTCCTTTGCGTGGAAGACAAGCTTGGCGATCCGAATATTATATTTCCTTCCTTGTAACTGACTCCATGTAAACCCTAGCTCTCTGGTGTCTATATAAACCGGATAGGATGGTCCTTAGAAGGCCGATCACGATTACAATCATACCATCATAGGCTAGCTCTTAGGGTTTAGCCTCTGCGATCTCGTGGTAGATCTACTCTTGTACTACTCATATCTTCAATATTAATCAAGCAGGAAGTAGGGTTTTACCTCCATCGAGAGGGCCCGAACCTGGGTAAACATTGTGTCCCTTGCTTCCTGTTACCATCAGCCTAAGACGCACAGATCGGGACCCCCTACCCGAGATCCGCCAGTTTTGACACCGACATTGGTGCTTTCATTGAGAGTTCCTCTGTGTCGTCGCTTCAAGGCTTGATGGAGTCTTCAATCGTCAACAACACAGTCCAGGGGGAGACTTTTCTCCCCGGACAGATCTTTGTGTTCGGCGGCTTCGCACTGCGGGCCAATTTGCTTGGTCATCTGGAGCAGATCGACAGCTACGCCCCTGGCCACCAGATCAGGTTCGGAAACTTGAACTACACGGCGGATATTCGCGGAGACTTGATCTTTGATGGATTCGGCCCTGTGCCAGGAGCGCCGGACAGTCACGACGAGCACGGCCTAGACCTGTTGTTGGACAATGCTCGAAACATCATCCCGGCAATAGCCCCGGATCTAAATCCGGAACAGGTTGCGTTGCCCAAGGACGGAGGGATGGACCCTGCCCCGCAGGCCGCACGCTCATCGGCGGTGGATCCGAACACAGGTCATCTCTCCGTGGAGGCCTGTAAACCTGGGCCCCCAGACTCGTATCCGGTTGTTGTCTCACGTCCGCACACTCTCGAGCCAGCCGAGCCAGGTTGGGCTCCAGTAATGGAGTTTACCGCTGCAGACATCTTTCAGCACTCGCCTTTTGGCGACATGCTGAACTCATTAAAGTCTCTCTCTTTGTCAGGAGGCTCTGGGCCGAACTATGTTCGGCTTGAGTGGGAAGCAGACAATGAAGGAATTCGCTGCCCACCCACCACCCACTTTGTCGCCACGATCGATGATTTAACCGACATGCTCGACTTCGACTTCGAATACATCAACGGTATGGACGACGATGCAGGAGACGTACAGGAGCCACCGCTCACAGGGCGTTGGACAACCACCTCTTCATACGATATATACATGGTGGACACTCCGAAAGAAACCAAGGGCGATTAGGCAACGAAGGATAACCCCTCCAAGAAGAAAGCAAAGGATGGGCGTCGCCCGCGCCGCTCCAAGCCCCGCCAAGGCAATACCGGCACCGGAGACGAAGACAATCCGGACGGTGCCGACGATGAATACAACCCCGAACAGCCCGCCTTCGAGCAGGTCGAACAGGAAGATGGGCATGACAGCCCAGATGAACAGGCGACGGACGGGTATCCGAAGGAGGACAACTACATGCCCCTCTCCGAAGACAAGATTAGCCTTGGCAACGACGAGTTCGGCGTACCCGAAGACCTCGCAGAGCAGGAGCGCTTCAAGCGCCGACTTATTGCCACTGCGAGAAGCCTGAAGAAGAAGCAGCAACAGCTTCAAGCTGATCAAGATCTGCTCACAGATAGATGGACAGAAGTCCTGGTAGCCGAGGAATATGGACTCGAGCGCCACACGGCTGACCGTCCGCCTCGAGGTCGGGACAAATCGGCGTATCAGCCCAAATAACAGCCCCCACCCCCGCGCCGGTTTACCACGGCCCGGGGCAATACTCAGGACCTGCACGATAAACTGGATAACACTACAGGACAACCAAGATCGATCTACGGATCACGGGGGCGCACCGCAGCACATGACGATGACCGTCATATCGGATACACTACCAGCAAATCCGGCCAGGCCGAATATAACCAGTCAGATGCAGCTGGACTGCGTCGCGACATACCCCGGCATAGAGGCGCCGCACACCCCCTCTGCTTCACCGATGAAGTGATGGATCATGAATTCCCAGAAGGGTTCAAACCCGTAAACATCGAATCATACGATGGCACAACAGACCCCGCGGTATGGATCGAAGATTTCCTTCTCCACATTCGCATGGCCCGCGGAGACGATCTACATGCCATCAAGTATCTTCCCCTTAAGCTCAAAGGACCCGCCCGACACTGGCTAAACAGCCTGCCCGAAAATTCCATTGGCAGTTGGGAAAACCTGGAAGACGCATTTCTTGACAACTTCCAAGGCACATATGTGCGTCCTCCAAATGCGGATGACTTGAGCCACATTACTCAACAGCCTGGAGAATCAGCCAGGAAATTCTGGACTCGGTTCCTAACTAAAAAGAACCAAATAGTCGACTGTCCGGACGCCGAAGCCCTGGCGGTCTTCAAGCATAATATCTGTGATGAGTGGCTCGCCCGACACCTCGGCCAGGAGAAACCCAAGTCTATGACAGCTCTCACGACACTAATGACCCGCTTTTGCGCGGGCGAGGATAGTTGGTTGGCTCGCAGCAGCACTACGCCACATTCTGGCACGTCAGACGTCCGTGTCAACAATGGCAAGCTACGGCGCAACAGACACAAGCGACGGAACAACGGCGACAACACCAAAGACACGGCGGTCAATGCCGGATTCAGCGGATCCAAATCCGGTCAGCGGAAGAAGCCATTCAAGAGAAACAATCAGGGACCGTCTAGTCTAGACCGCATACTGGAGCGCTCGTGCCAAATTCATGGCAC